TCTTAAACTCTATCATAGCATTAGCAGTTGGCTTTCTTTGTTTTATAAAAAGCATTTTTCACAAGGCAACAAGATTTTTAATTACTTCACAAGAGTTCTTGAAATACAGATATGAACAGACAATGTACAGCCATGCTAAAATTCCAGTGCCATGGAATCAACCTACTGGGCTAACTCCAGCCTCACCAAACATACTTGGGAAAATTACCAATTACTTCATGCTAAGGATATCCACATTGGAAAAGACCCTGATGCTGGGAAAGACTGAAGGTGGGAGGAGAAGGGGATGACAGAGAATGAGATGGTTGGATGGCATCACCAACTCGATGGACATGAGTTTGAGTAAACTCCAGGAGTTGTTGAAGGACAGGGAGGCCTGGCGTGCTACAGTCCATGGGTTAGCAAAGAGTGGGACACAACTGAGCGACTGAACTGAACTGAACTGAACTGAAGGATATCCAACGTTTCTTAAGGTGTGATAAATCCATGAGTATCAGAGGTTTCAAACAGAAAATCTAAAAGAACTGATCCAGAGGTCACTACTAGAAAAGAGGGGGAAATCATCTGCACAGAAAAATAACAACTGAACTCATGACAGTAACCGAGTTTTCCCTTGGAGCAAGACAAATGAGCGAAAAGGCTAAAGACAAAACCACGTAACGGCTCCAGCAGGAGGGAAAAGCAGAAAAAAAGTAAAAAGAAAAAAACACAGCGACTAAATAATGAAACAAAATCGAGAATGAGGGACAGTAAGTTTAGATTCTCTTACACAGAGAAAGCTTCAGGAAGGCAGGGAGGAGCGTCAGGGAAGCAGGGACCGCGTGGGTGGCATGGACACGGCCACGTGTGTTAACTGCGCTCTTTGTGAGCACAGACCCAGCAGAGGGGCAGAGTAAAGATGAGAGCAGAGGCCAGTCAGGTAAAGGAGAGAGACAGGAGGGAGAGACCCTGCTCAAGAAATCCAGCTGCTCCAAGAAGGTCAGGGCAAGTCCCTGGAGGACAGCGGCTGGTGAACGCGCACTGGTAACAAGTGAGTGAACCAGCATCGCAGGGTTGAGGGCTGTCTGTCAAGGCTCAAAGGGTACAAGCAAAACTTTTGTGGAAGATGGGGACAAGACAGCAGGTTTCAAAGAGAAGGAAAGAGTTTAAAGATGCCTCCAAATGAAAATAGTTTCTTGAATTAGCTAGAAAAGCAGAAAGGAAGCTGAGAATGAAAATGAAGGCAAAGAAACCAGCACCCACCACCTTCCTCCACTCTGGCCCTAGAACAGGAGAACCAGCTGCTGAAGTCAGAGCAGAAGTACTCGGAGGAGGGTGGACAGAAGACGAGAGCGAGAAAAGCTTCTGTTCTTCTGATGCAGGAGTCAACAGTGACGTGAGGAGAGCTCAGCTCAAACACCTCTCCCTCTCGTCCAAAGCGTGGTCAAAGCTACAGCACAAATGGGCAAGGTATAAAGCCACGGGGGGAAGTGCCTACAGAACGCTAAAGGCAAGCGTACCGTGCCTGCGGAGACTGGACGCACTTGAAACGCATACACTGTACACTGCAGCCGTGTGAGCTTGGGGTTCCCCCGCAAGTGCCAAGTACTGACACCTTATCAACAAATGTCACCAGTAAGTCCCAAACAAGGAACATGTGCGAGGAGATAACTGAAAGATTTACAGACACATAAAGTACGAAAAGTGGTCCAAAGTTACCAATAAAAACACCAGATGCACGGAGTATACTTTCCAATGTGGACAAAGTCTCACTAGGATGTTTCATTAAGCAGCACAATTTACACAACTCTACAAAGTGAGCCAAGAAACTTTATTCTTTCTTCATCCTTTTTTTTTATTTTTTAATGAAAATATAGTTGATTTACAATGTTATTTTCTGGTGCACAGCAAAGTGAGTGATTCAGTTACCACACACACACATATACATATATTCTTTTTCATATTCTTTTCCATTGTGGTTTCTTACAGGATATTGAATACAGTGTTACACTAGGACCTTCCTGTTTAGTGTAGTCTTCATTTAATTCCTTCAATACAGACAATGAAAAATGAATAATTAAGAATTTTTAAATAATGAGGGGAAAAGGGAATCAAGACTTGGGATTAATGAACAAGTACAAAACTAAAAATAAAAGCTATACTATTTATAAAAGTATTAACACATTGATCCTTTCCAAAAATTTGAGAAGTACCCAACAATAAACCCAAGACCAAAGACATTTAACCTATGAACCACAATTCAAAACAATTTTTTATTATAACTTAAGGTGAATAACTCTTATTTCCATATTACTATGTTTTGGTAGATAAATTATTTTCTTTTAAAAGGAAGCATACAGCAATTCTAACACAGCTATGACAGATGCCCTAAAAGTTGACTCCCACAGACACTGTATATGACGTATATATAATATCATACCCTCGAACCCCACCATTTTAGGTAAAGGACTTGAGAATCCAGATTTCAATACGTGAAGGGGTCCTGGACCATTCCCCAAGGACACAGGTGAACACCTGTACAGACGTTTCCCAAGGCACATAAAACACACTTCTATATGTATTTGTTCTATAATTATACCTCACTTTTTATATACTTCATTTTTTTTTAAGTTTAAAAAAAAGCCAAAGTTGGATTAAGATCCCATAGACCATAGGGCAGCGGCCAAAGGGAAAAAAAGAGACTGGATACATCCTCAAAGCAGCAATATTGAGGATTTTGCACAGCGAACCAAACAGACTAATCCTACTAGCAACTGACAAGCCAGTGTGACGGAGTGTGCAAGATGCGCCAGTCTGAAAACAGCACAGCACTGTAAATCAGCTCTACTTCAGTCACAAGTGAGCCCACTAGTGTTACCAACACTTTACCCACATCACCTCACAGCCCCGCCGGAGGGCACTGGGACCGCCTCCCCTCACAGATGCGGGCACCGAGGCACCTGCGGCAAGACGCCCGGTCAGGACCGCCCGGCACCACCCCGGAGTCGGACTCCACAGACAGCTTTCTCAGTCACCTTGTTCCACGGCCTCTCCAGAAGCAGCTGTCTTAAAACAAAGCTTGCCTCATCAGTATGGAGCCTCGGGGTCTTTGCCAACCACTATCTTCTTCAGCACACAGCAGTCCAGAACTGATTTTTAAAGAAAACCCTGACCTGCCTGCAAGCACTGCCAAGGCCCACACAGGAATACCGAGGGCTCGGCTGTCCTTGGGACTGGGCTTCCCCACCCTTCTTTTCTTTAAAGTGAGCCTCACTGTCTTCTCAGCTCAACTTCGCAGGCATGCCCTCTAACCTCAACCTCCTCAGCTGCAGGAGGTGCCCCAAGGCTTAGGAAGATACACAGCACATCCCCTATGAGAAGTACTCGTCAGAAGTCTGGCATTCAGAACTAATAATCCTTATTTGAAGAAGCTGACATACAAACAGTGTTCAAATATAACTTCAAAGACTGTACACTACTTAATAATTGCTTTCAAGAGCTTTACATATTTAATAAACAGCATCTTGCTTTATAACCTATCCCCCAGAAAACCAGTAACTATAGTGCTGACTGGGAAGTTATGCCCTAAACTACTAGAAAAGAACAGCTGTCCACCTCAAACAACCTGCTACTCAGTTCCTTTCAACAGCCTAGTTGAGAAAAATAATATTTCTGGAGAATTTAACTGTCTAGGGATTCCATGTTTTCTCCTTGGTTTGAAATGAACCATTAAAAAGGCAACATATTTGGTCTTGAGTGTTCTTTATCTTCACAACCATTACAAACTCAAGTGACATTTTCAAGCTATACTTCATGCTTTCTTGAAGACAACTTAAGAAACAATCTCATGAAAATCTGTTACCATAGTTACTATAGAGATGTTACTAAGAACACTGCCTTAAAATGAAATGTTCAAAAAGCTCTGCTTCCTTGATATAAGTAAATTTTCTCAAGGATCTCGAAAAGACAGTTTCATATATCCTTTTATATTCTAGCCAACAAAAAGTTAAAAAACTAACAAGATTAAACTAATTAATTATGCTTGACTTTATGGCCCAAAGATCTCTATTTTTTTCCTTTGAGTATTTTTGAGGTTTAGTTTTTTAATATTTAAATTTTTGCTACATCCAGTATTTACTTTGGCATAAATGTCTTCAGTATAGAAGCTGTACTTTCTTTAACCAAGTCTATGTACCTTTTTTAAATGATCACTCTCTCCCAGCATTCTATTCTATTCTTTCTACCCTTACTTCACATATCCATGCCAATTTGTGTGTTATTTTCGTTTTATGATTACTGAGGTTCAACTACATACACTTGTATATTTAGGCTTCAAGCGGACTATAAGTAGTTTGAAAAGGGCATAAGAAAAAGTCATAAAATTTCACTGTGAACTATAAATAAAACCAGTAGAAATAATTATTTTTGCATTAGCAATTAACCTTAAGGATTAGAAAGTATGATTTTGAAAATTTAATACTGTCAACACTGGAAAAATGGCAAGCCCTTTAAAGGATAAATTTATCTCTAAAAAGCTAAACTGCTTGAAACAAGCCCAGTCACGAGAATACTGGCTAAATGGGTTGTCTTCCAACTCCTATGACTTGTCTGAGAGTGGAGAACAACCACTCCTGCACAGAAGGAAGCCCATCCTTCCCCTTGGCGCTGCAGACAGAGGTGGTTTGCTCTTCGTCTTTACTCAGGCGCCCTCTACTGACAGCAAAGCAAAACAGGCTACGGAAATACACTTGCAAATTTCATCAGCACAGGGAAAGAATTTATTTTTTAAATACTTCAAAATCAGTATTTTAGATAAAACCACATTAAAAACGAACTTTGCTATAGAACCAAGAAAAAATAAACATCTGTGAACTGACAATTCAAGTTAACACTCAAATCTTACATGTGGCAAATGCTATATTTCAATATACTACTTTACCATCGATGCTAATCCTTAGATGCAAGAAGGATTAAAGATCTTAAATCCATTTTAAATAATTTCTCTGTAGGGGAATGTTTACCTGGATCTGTTCTGGCGTCCATTGGTCTAGGTTGACTGACTTGACCCTGGATATATGAACCCCAAGATTCCTATGGATGCCAGCACATCTGATGCAAATAAACACACCAATATTCCAGGAAGCCCATCGAGGACCTGATTACAGAGAAGAAACAAAGAAAAGCTAGCATTAAAAACTAAAAAACTATCATAACAGCATATAAGAAGCATTCTGGTTCTTCATACAATCGTAACGAAGGGTTATAGAATTCATGGACTCAAATTTTCAAAGGGCAAAGCAGCAGCTTGCTAAGAAGACGTGTCTTGGTTGTGCTGAAAGGCTATAAATCAAACTTCAAGAACTGTAATGAGTTTACTAATTTTGCCTTCCTAGGAACTTCCCCCAAAATCTTAAGAATTTAAAACTACCTTGTGTGAACAGTTTTTTAACTAGCGTATTTGATTAAGGAGTAGTAACAGCCCACAGTAAAGGTAAGTCCTTTATTAAATGTGTAGGGTATTGTTTAAAAGACTACCAACAAGTAAACATCAAAGAGGTTTTTTAAAATTAAACAGAAAATAGTAAAAAACAATGAACCTAAATAGAAAAATGGACAAAAAAGATACAAATGGGTAATTCACAGAAAAAGAAATGTGTGGCCAATAAACACATAAAAATATGTACACTCTCACTGGTAATGGGGGGAAAATGCCCTTTAAACAACTTCTACTTTGCAATCAACACCTTGAGGAGGGGAACATTTTTATCAATTAATACTATTAATAATTATAATAGGACAAAAAAGGACTGCCTCAAGAAGCCTTTTATCAACATGAATAAATCCCAGATATAATCCTGAGATTAAGAAAAGTTACAGATGAACTGAGGTATGTTACAAAATGTTAGTCTTTGGGTCAAAAAACTGATTCAAACACCACAAAGAAACTCACCTAAATATGTAAGATACAAGCCTTAGCTGTACTATTCTTCGTACCTTTGACTGTACTATTTCTTGATAATCTTAAATGTTCTCATGGTTATCTTCATACATCACTTGTACAATTAAAGTAAAATGGAAAATAAAAGTAATATCTGGAAGTCATATCAAATTTTCAGAAGCTCATATATAAGATTTCTCTAAATGGCTTATAAAAAATACAGTAAGAGATATTAATAAAAATCAAGCTTTTTAAAAAATTTAGGTTTTTTTCTGTTTAAGTACATACTTTCTATCTAAAGATGAGAATCTACAAAATAACAGCAAAGCTAAAAATTTCAATGTAGTTAACACTAAACACATTCCCCAAAAATTCCTTAGGATATAGGTTATGTGTATACAATTTATGTCAAAATATCTTGCTTTTAAATTTGAGAAATGACACCTATAAACAGACAAACATCTGGGACATGCTCTATTTAAGTCTCTATTTGACCACCAACAGTGTCAAAATGAGTTAGCGGTCAAAAGACCACTGCTGTCCATGTACTCAGCCACTTCGGAGATGCATAAATTACACTGGACCTAGTTACAGAGCTGTAAGGTTCTCATCTGCCCAAAGGAGTTAGAACGGCTGCCCTCAACACTTAGGTGAGATGTGCACAGAAAATATTTCTAAAGTTTTAAAGCACTACTTAATGCAAGTTACTGCCATGTTAAGAAATTCTGATGATCAAAATATAACACTTTTTTTCCTCTAGACAAGTTCCTATATTGGTCTGTAAAACAACTGTATCTTAACTTTCCTCAAAAGTAACTCCTATAAAGGCCAGAGCATGACAAGAAAACAGAAATTTTCAATACACTCCAAGAAGGGCTTCATTTTTGTGAAAATAGAATGATTTCCCTGGGAATAATGTGCCAGAACCTCAGCCAAATAGCAAGGGAAATTTTTCTCTCTAGCACGATTTTCCTAATGTGAATGCTATGACTGAATGAACTTGCATAATATGATGCAACTCCCCATGCAGGCAGAGAACTGCTGTACCCAGTACAGTGGTGCGTTTTTATAACAACAAAGGATAAGAAAGGGACTGAAACGTATAAAAGCCGTGGGCAAGAATAATGCTAGCAGTAATATTTTTTAAAAAGGCTATATTACTACTGAGCAAAAGCTAGATATAATTAAATGTTAGATGATGTTTAAATCTTATTAATTTAAGGCTATAAAAACCATTTTATTGATTCCTACAAGAAAAAAAAAACTTGGTTATCATTTGGGAAACTTTAGCCCCAATCATTTCTTACATATTGAAATGATGTAATTTTGTCAATGTATCTTTCTTTAGAACATAAACTATCATAACTGAACAATATAATCAAGAACCCCTAAAAATACTTTAAAAGTCTAACCAAAATTACAAATGGAACATGCACTCTATAAAATTAGCCCTGTAACTTTACCTAAAATTGCCTTGATAAAACAGTAGTTGCTTAACATGGCAGTCATTCAGTTACCAACATGAAATCCTTCTTTTCATTCACCAAACAGGCTTCCCTGGTGGCTTGGTGGTGAAGAATCCACCTGCCAATGCAGGAGGGGCAGGTTCAATTCCTGGGTTGGGAAGATAACCCCAGAGAAGGAAAAGGCAACCCACTGCAGTATTTTTGCCTGGAAATCCTCATGGACAGAGGAGCCTGGAGGGCCACAGTTCACTGACCCACAAAGAGTCGGACATGACTTAGCGACTGAATAACAACAAATTCAATGAGTACTTACCAATTCTGTGCCAACTAAATGCTTTAAAAGACTACTGATGCAATGATAAAAGGCTAAGTTCTCACACTCAGGAGACCATACCAATTTAAATAGATACAACCATTTTTTTTTAAAAAATTGGTGAAATCTAGTCCAGTTCTAGATGAATAAACCCTTCCACCAACAATATGCTCGTACACACACAAAACACACACATACGTGCTTACAGGTATCTCAATTTATGCATATGTTTAGTTTAAACAATATGACATGTCTATGTACATACAGACATTCACACATACACAACACACCCTTTACCAACATTTTAAACAGTAGGTCACAACTCATTAATTTAATCTCAACCAAAATTTATTTTTAGAAGGAAAATGGTATAAGTGCATCAGATGAAGAGTAAATATAACTTTGCTAAAACTTTTAAAAAATCAGTAATATACATATATATGTACAGACACACATACACACAAAAATCAGGTCATATTATAAAATGCTGTTTCTCTGGATCAGAGTCAAGCAAGGCTGAAAAACACTACAAAGAAACTCATACATATACTCAAGAAGCTGTGTAACCACAATATTTATATATTTATAGTAGCATGATTTCTAGAAAGACTGACAACTTAAATACTCACCAGTACAATTATCTCCATACCACAGAAAATTATACAACAATGAAAATGAATAGACTGCACACATCAACCTGGTTAAATGGGACATCTGTAATCAATTTTAGCACAAGGTGATATATATATAAAGGCTTCCCTGGTGACTCAGATGGTAAGGAATCTGCCGGCAACGCAGGAAACCCAGGTTCGATCGTTAGGTCGGGAAGACCCCTGGAGAAGGGGCTACGCGCTCCAACATTCTTCAGGGGCAAGCAGACAAGGCTATGGGAAGGCAGGCAGGTCTCACAGAGGGGGGCCAAGCTTGAAACGAAGCCTAAACGCTGGCCAGGAGCCCTGACACAGTACGCCAAGACATATCTCAGCAAAGGCTGAGTAAGGTGAGGGTGGTAGGGGAGTCTGGCAGAGCAGAAGGGCAGGGCACTAAAGAACTGGGGGACCTTTCAGGAGCTGACAGAGGAGCCACATAATAAAGGCCTCAGAGGGCAACTGAGGGGCCGACCCTGGCCCCCACGGAGAAGACCTCAGTCCTCGTCCAAGAGCGCCTGGCCTTTCCTGCTTTTGCATATGTTGCCCCCTCTGCTCCTAATGCTTCCTGCAGGCCGTGAGGTGCCAGGCTCGCTCCGTCACATGTCGCCGGCTCTGGGCGACTTTGGTGACCCCTCCAGCCACAACTGCCTCTCCCCACTACTCTCCATCACTCATAACAGGACAGTCTCCTCTGAAGTCTATGTAAAAATCTAAGGTAAACAAAAAGACAAATACAGGCAAACACAAATAGATGAACAGCTGGAGGGTCTAATAATTTCAGCAGCCATTTCAAAACAAAAAAAATTAAAGAACTGCAGCGTCAGTTTCAGATCAATGTCTCTCAAAATCTAAGGCACATGCATGTACTGGGGGACACAATGAAATCGAGTGGCCCCGGACAGTGCCTGAGACTCTGCAACCTGACAAGCAACCCGAGACACCAGTGCTGCCATTCACAGGCCAGACTACTTTTTGTATAAAGTGTCTCATAGAGAAAACAGTCCTTTTTCTGGCTGAGAGCATATATCTGCATTTGCTCATATGTGTTCTGTCCTTTTCCTCTTCCCATTTTATGTTTTTTCTTGTTTCTTTTCATGTGATTTTGTTACCAAATTGAAATAGCTATAGTTATTTTTACTGCTTTCTTTTCCTTTAACCTTTATGCTATAATTGTTTTAGTATATAATTGTTATATTTATTATATATTATATATAACTATTTAATATATATTATATGATTTATATATCTTAATTATATATTTATTATAATATATAGTATATATTACATAATTTATATATTATATAATATATAAATATATTTATATATTTAAATATAATATATATTTAAATATTTATAATTATATTTATACTTAAATATATATTTAAATATTTATAATTATAAATATGTTTATATTTAAATACAATTATATAATATATATAAATATGTATTCTATGTTATTTATATTGTATATTAACATTAATATATAATATATTGATATTATATAACATATAACAATATATTATATAATGTATATTATTTAATATATATTTAAATTATTTATAAGTAAATTAATATATTTAATATATTATATATTTGATATATTAAATATATTTTAATTTTATATTTTATATAAAATACTTTTATATAACAAATATATTTATAAATATATAAATATAAATAAATTATATAAAATAAAATTTTTATTTTATGTTTAAAATTATATATTTAATATATATCAAATATGTTAATATATTTAATATATATTCAATATATACTAAAATTATTTAT